CCCACCTGAGGGTATCTTCTCACTCTCGCACGGTGCACCCCCTCGTTCCTCCTCGACGGGGGATGGAGGGAGGGCGACTGATTCCCTTCCTCCTCCTCCGAGCGCTGCGGGTCCCTTCGCCTCCGGCGCGCTGCGGTCGGGAGCCGGCGCGTTCCCTCACCGCCCCTCTCAAAAGGGGCGGTTCCTCCAGGAGCGACGCGCAAAAGGCGGCCATTCCCAAGGGCCTCGAGTCTGAACTTACCCAGGAGCGCCGCGGGAACCCACGCGAACTGGCAATCAGCCCGCCGCGGGCATGGCCCATCGCTCTAGGCTGCCACGCCCGCCGCCGCCCCCCAGGCCCTAGGCCCCTCTTGTACCAGCAGCCGCCAGCCAGCTGGCGGCCGGCGAGTCAGCCCGCCAACGTGCGCCGCCCGGCCCACCAGCCCCCCTGCGCGCTGGCCAGCGTCGGGCCGCCGCGCCCAGCTACCAGCAGGCCGCTGCCCCCCCAGCGCCGCCTCCCGCGGCAGCAGCAGCAGCAGCAGCAGCAGCAGCAGCAGCAGCAGCAGCAGCACTGCGCCAGCCAGCGCCCCCGCCAGCCCGCCCCACGGGTCCGCCCAGGCTAGCGCGGTCAAGCCCTACAGCCCCGCGCAGGGCCCGCCCGCGTCAGCAGGCCCGGGGCCGTCAGAGCAATGCGTGGGGGGCCCTCCAGGCTCTGTGGCACATGGCCGCAAGCACGGCATCCGCGGCGTGGAACTGGAGCACGGCGCTGGATACCTGCTGCAGCTGGCGGATGGCCGCCGACCGCACCATTCGCAGTCCGGGATTGCGCGTCGGCTCGACGTTCTCCGCCGCCGCGGTTGCGACCCGGGCACGCCGGGCTGACCCGCGCTCGAGCGCGTCCTGGGACAGAGCATTGAAAACGGTGAAGTCCACACTGATGGGCTCAGCCACCCGGGGGCGTGGATGATCAGGTCCAGTCGCGTTTCGGGCCGGCTGGTTGCCGCGCGCGGCAACACCATCACCTTGTGGACCGCGCGGACAATCTCATCGCTCCACGCCGCAAGCACAGCGCAGCTGGCGTCGTGGCGGCGGACCAACCACCCGCCCACCGCGCAGGACCGCGCATGCTGCCTGTCGGGTCCAGCACAGCTCCGCAGACGCTTTTTGGTGCACTCCCGTGCAGTAGGGCAGGTTCGCGCCCAGGCGCACGCCCCGCGCGACGCCGAACTGCGCGTCAGAGGTGATCGGGCCGAGGCGGCGGGCCCAGCCAGGCGCTCGCCCCCTGGCCCCCAGCGCTGTGGAGGGCCGCTGCTGCCAGTGGGTCGTGGCTGGCCTCGTTGGCAAGGATGCGCGCAGCCGCAACAAGGGGGACCGAAGCCAGAGTGTGCTGCGAGGCTGCGAGCCCCCCGCAGCCCACGTGCGCGGTCTCGTCCTGCGGGGCCATCTGGAGAATCTTCGTCGCCTCCGGGAGGCACCTGCGCGCCCACGGGCTCACGCATGCTCATGCTGGCCAGCGAACCCGCCCCGTCAAGACAGAGCCTGCGCAGACAGCGCGGGAGGCAGAGGTGCCAAGACGCCACCTGGGCCGCCGCCGCCGTGAGCTCGACGCTCTACAGCCCCAGCCCGCCGGTCGCTCCTACGAGGCAAAGCTTCCTCCCGCTCAGACTCGCCACCTGCTGGCCGTAGGCATGCCGCACCTCCACCATGAGCGCTGCGTCCAGGGCGGGGCCGCCGTCGCTCAGGTGCCGCACGTGCGCGCGAGGAAAGTGTCGTCGGAGGTCGTCCTGGGCCGCAGCAGTGCGAGGGCAAGCTGTCTGTCCAGCCCCGCGGCCCCGAGTTCTTTCAAAAGGGAATACAATAGTCGCCCCCGGGACGCCTCTAGTTGGGCTACCTCGGGGTTCCCTCTGCCAGCAAGCTGCCGTCTGCTGGCGCCGCTGCCGGAGCGGCTGACACCGTCGGCAGCGCGCCGTTGCGGAGCACAAGGCAGGGCTCGCGGTCACCCTCCATCCTCTCTCCTTCCCTCACCCCTTCTCCCTGCCCATGGTTCTTATAGACAACTGTCGTACCCCGAGGCCGGTCGAAAGGGCGGGCCTGGCGTTCCGCATAAGACTTCCTCGCCACTTATGACCCTGATTGTTAAAAGCTGACAACAGCTTCACATATTGAGGGCGGCTGGTTTTCAAAACGTGGCTCTCGCCTTTGCGCCGCGCACATTCGTTTTCAATTTTGCAAGAACTTCGCGGATTGAGTCCGGGTCGTTTTCAAAATGTGGTTCTGGCTTTAGCGCCGCGCACATTCGCTTCAAGCAATTGCAAGAGCTTCGCGGATTGAGGGCGGGTTCTTTTCAAAATGTGGTTCTCGCCTTCACGCCGCACACATTCGTTCTCAAACTTTGCAAGAATTCGACGACTTGAAAAGCGGCTCATTTCCAAAATATGGCCCTCGCTTAGCGCGGCGCACATTCGCTTTACAAATTTATAGAAGCTGCAAGGATTGAGGGCGGGTGGTTTTCAAATGTGGTTCTCGCCTTCGCGCTGCATGGCGGTTCGCAGCGCCGCTCACATTCATCTAAGATATTTGCAAGAGTTTCACAGGTTCTCATGGCTGACGGTGTTTTGGAACGGCTCAAGATTGCCAGGGCGAAACAGTTACATTCATTTGCGGTGGTGAAATCCCAGGCGTGGTGTTTTGGTATGATGGTACGACTCAGGATCGCCAAGACGTAACAGTCAGGTTAACTCGTAGCATTGAAGTCCTGAGAATGGTGTTTTGGCACGCTTCACGATGTTCACACGGTTGTCCCCCCAAAAGGACAATTCCCTCAGTGAAAATGGCCCTTTGCAGGGGACTGTGAAGAAAGATTTTGGAGGGAGGGTGTACTTCAACATCGTTGATGGTCTTGGGTTTACACTGGTCCTCCTCCTCCTCCTCCTCCTCCTGCTCCTCCTCCTCCTCCTCCTCCTCCTCGCTCCTTCCCTCCCCCTCCCTCCTCGCCCCCTCGCTGCCTGTGCCACCGCCGACTGTGCAAGCGAGCTGGCAGCTCGTGAAACGGCGGCGCACTGGGGTTCTGAGCCGAGGTCTGGGCCGGCGGCGCGCGCAGGAGGGGGGAGGCGGCGAGATCGGGCAGCGGCCCCCCACTGGGCATGCCAGATACGTCCCTGGCCCAGGGTGCCCCCCAGGAGCACCGTTTGTCCGACGCCTATCCCCATCGGCGTGGCCTTGGTCCCACTGGCCGATTTACCCCCCTAGATGGGGATATCGGCTGCTTCCCTCGGGCTTCGAAGCATGCAATTATCCCCAATTGGGGTGCTGAGATGGTGGGGGTCTGGAGTCTGGGTGGGGATAGGGATGGGGATAGCGGTCGGTGAAACGATGCTGACCCAAGACTCCCAGGGATGCCCCCACGGCCTCCAGAGCACCCCCACACTCCACGAGGGCCAGAAGGACCCCAGGGGCTTCAAACCAGAGCGAGAAGAGCTGGGTACACCTCCGCCCGTGGACATCTTTAGGAACCCCGGGTGCAGTCAGCGGGCCTCTCACGGCGAGTTCGCGTCGCGAAGACGCGGGCGGTGGTCTGTGCCACCGCGCGGGCCGTTCGACCCGGAGCGGTCGCGGCCGACCGAGGGCGCAGATCATTCGGTACCAGCCGGCTCTGGGTCGCCAGCGGCCCTCCACTTGAATCCCTGGCGCTCACCTGCCCGTCAGAAAGCCTGGAGGCCCCTAGTCAGAAAGATCGGTCGCCCAACTCTTCCAAAAGGCGGTGCCAAGGGCATCACGGGAAAGCCGCGTCGCGCCGCGACGGGCGGCAACGACGACGACGACGACGACGACGGCGACGACGACGACGACGACGACGACGGCGGCGGCGGCGACGACGACGACGGCGGCGGCGACGACAACGACGACGACCACGACGACGACGATCACGACAACGACGACGACGACGACGACGACGACGACGACGACGACGACGACGACGACGACGACGATCACGACCACGACCACGACCACGACCACGACCACGGCGGCGGCATTTGTGAGGCGCGGTGCCCGCGCCGCGGTAGGCCCGCGGACGCACGCTCTCACCGAGGCCGCGCTGCAGGAGCGGGAAGCCCCCAGGAGTGGCGGGGGAGTCCCCACGGCCCGTGGGGTGGGGCCTCTTCCGACTCCTCGGCCCCCCGGGCCTCCTCCGACCCCATCCTCTTCCTCCTTCTCCTCCTCCTCCTCCTCCTGTTTCATCCTCCTCGTCCTCCTCCTCCTCCTCCACCTCCTCCTCCTCCTCCTCCTCCTCCTCCTCCTCCTCCTCCTCCTCCTCCTCACCATCACCATCACCATCACCATCACCATCATCACCATCATCGTCATCATCATCAACATCATCATCAGCAGCATCATCATCATCATCATCACCATCACCATCACTACCACCATCATCATCATCATCATCAACATCGCCATCATCATCATGATCACGATCATGATCATGATCGTCATCATCGTCATCAGCATCATCATCATCACCATCACCATCACCATCATCATTACCACCATCACCACCATCGTTACCATCATCAGCATCATCAGCATCATCATCATCAGTACCAGCATCATCACCATCACCATCATCATCATCATCATCATCTTCATCATCATCATCATGATCATCATCACCATCACCATCACCATCACCATGACCATCATCATCATCATCGTCAGCACCATCATCATCATCACCATCATCATCATCATGGGGACCGAGAGCCTGGCGAGAAAACGATTTCCACCTTTCTGAGGCGCTGACGTGCCTGGTGCAATCTGTCTTCGAGAACACTACTCAGTCATCGCGATGAGACCAAAGCGAGCGGAGGGTCCGAACATTGGGGCGGCCTTGGACGCACCGCCCACCTCCGCTCGAAGAAAAAGTTTGTCTCTGCTACATTAGACTTTGGGTGGCTGCGGGTGGGAGCCAAAAAGACTTCGGAGCTTGCATAGCCGCGATATTATGTCAGACATGCTGGTGAACGACAAGCCGCTCTCTTACCCCATTCCTGCGCACGCACTCCCATGGGGACCGAGAGCCCGGCGAGAAATGATTTCCACCTTTCTGAGGCGCTGACGTGCCTGGTGCAATCTGTCTTCGAGAACACTACTCAGTCATCGCGATGAGACCAAGGCGAGCGGAGGGTCCGAACATTGGGGCGGCCTTGGACGCACCGCCCACCTCCGCTCGAAGAAAAAGTCCCAAAGCATCCCCAAATCACCTGAGGATGTGACTCATGCTTGAAATAACTTAACTCGGATCGGGGCCACCAGTGCACGAGCCAGCGCCCGATTGAGCTGTTGTGGGCATGGCTGTGCCACTTGCGTCCACGGCGCTCCACTGGGCGCCGGGCCAGAAAGGATGACGTGTTTACGACCCGTTCGGCTGCAAACGCCGTTGGTGCCGCTACACTGGCGTGAAAGCCCCTGGAGATCCTGGAAAGGAATGCCCCCGCACATTAGGGTCGTGCGTTTCTTCCAGGGGGTGCCGAACTGACAGAAATCAATAGTCAACGTCGCCACGGACGGGGAGGAGGCCAGGCGCTGGAACTCAGGAGTTTAAAACATGTAGCTAGTGCACGGGTTTTCCAAAATCCAAGAGGCACCAACAGCGTTGCACTCACGAATTATGGCCAACGAGGCCCTACATCATCTGTTAACCTCCTTGAGTTTTTCCCAGTCTTGTGGGCTGACCTCCCCCCTCGAAAACCCCCATGGTCGGCGGACAGAGCGGA